TGAGTGGCAGGCGGGCGCCCCCCCCCCCCTCCCTGAGCCCCTTGGCCTTGCCCACTTGCCCCTGTCGCCCGCACTTGTCCTCTTCAGCCACAGACCTCCTGCCTCCTTCCTCCTTACTGAGAGAACCCGATTTCCAGCCACACAAAATGAGGCTCCTTCCCATGACAGCTAACACGCTGAGGACTGCCGTGCACCATATGTTAGGGCCTTGCTCACATTACTTCGTTTAATTCCCTCAACAGCCCTGGGACATAAAGGATATTAACCCGTTTTTCAGGCGAGGAGGCTGAGCTCAGAAAGTGGAAGCTGCTTGTGTGCAAAGTCACGCATGACCAAGCTGGGGTTCATACCCCAACAGTCTTCCTCAGGGACCTGGAAGTCCCCATAGGGCCACACACCTATGATAAGTGCTCCCCACCATGTGGTTGAAATGACGGGCTGAGAGAATAAACTATTGAAAAATTCAAATGCAGATACGCTCACTCTCAGCACTTAATGCACATGTGGTAAAGGGGAGAGAGGACATCCCCACTGTTCCCATCACAGAGTAACCTGGGGTCTTGTACCCGGTTAGCAACCTCTGTTCTGCCCAGGATCCGGTCTCTCCCCTGAGAGGACCTCACTCCACCCAGGCCCCGTCGAGCACTGAGAGTTTGGAGGGGGAGAGTGGCCCTCGCTTGAATCTGCCTCCTGGCTCTTGTGGTACAGACCACGAAACCATCCACAGTCTACAGCCCAGACTGAGTTAGCGGAATTCCCCGCATCCAAGCTGGTGCAGGCGTGCTTGAAAGAGAGGCTGGAGAAAACACTGCAGAGTTTTCTCCCATCGGGAGTTGGGAAGTTTCCCTGTATAGACTCAAACCTGCTGACCTGCATTTGTGTTGCAGAAGGAGAAAGGAAATTGCCCAGAAGGCAGCAGAGGAAAACGAGAGATACCGGAAAGAGATGGAACAGTGAGTACTCGGGCCCATGTGTGGCCCCCTGACGGATCCTCCTTTATTTATAGCCATCCCATAATCCTGGCAAAGCCTGTCACATCAGGACAGCTGGGGCACAGCCTTATGTAACTGCCTTTTAGTTTAGCTCACCGGCTGCAGGCCCCGTCCTGCTGTCCACACTAGAGTCGTGCAGCCTCTTCCCAGGCTGCTTGGGTCCACTGGCAGGCGGGAGGTGGGCCTGCAAAGGTTCTGACTCCAGTTACAGCCATGGGGTCTCATTTCAGGATCATGGAGGAGGAAGAGACGTTTAAGAAGCAGTGGGAAGAAGACTGGGGCTCAAAGGAACAGCTCCTCTTGCCCAAAACCATCACCACGGAGGTGCATCCAGCTCCCCTTCGCAAGCCAAAGTGTACGTATCATGAGCCGATCATCTGAGGAGGCCCTGCTTCGGGATCTGAGGATGGCCTGGGGCTTCGGGAGCTAGGCAGAAATGCTGCTCTCCAGCCACCACTCCCTGCCACCTCCCCATGTGAATAGCCTGTGGTCCTCTTGGCCAGCTTTCTTTCATGGAGAGGCAGTCATCTGTCAGAAGCGATCTAGTAGGTACCCAGGGCTAGGGAGCGTCTGCCCTCTTGCCTTGGGGGCCTGATGCACACACCCACTCCTCCATAACTCAGATATACATGGGCCGTGGGGCTCTGCAGGAGCGTGGAGAGCTGTGCAAAAGTGGAATAGCTTGGGATGGTTAACTTCGTTTGTCGGTGTTGTGCTCACCTGGTTCTGAACAGGGGCCGAGGTGAAGCCAGCAGCAAGAAAGAGGAAGTGCCTCTGGCAGTCCAAGGTTGATGGGCACTAGAGGAAGGAGATGGCCTGAGGGCCCCGTCGCTATATCCCTGCCTGTGAGCTGCTGTCACACCGCCCCAGGATGCACACAGGGAAAAGACCTTGCGATTGGTCCAGGCGACAGCTGTGGTGCGGTCTGGTGACCTCACCGTGCTGGGTGCTCAGCTCCCACCACCCTTCCCACCTCCTCTCTTCATGGGCCCTGCAGTTTCACCTCCAGTCCAGGTCCCCACCAACTGCTCTCCCATCCACCAACTTCTGACATGTGATTCAAGAAGCAGCCCTTGCTGCCAGGGCAAATGGGAGTCTCACTATTTCTGAGCTATTGGGGGGCTCCAGGAGCAAGGGAATGTGGGGGCCATGGCCATCACAATTCCAGCCTGGTTGAATCTTCACCCAGTTGGTGCTATTTATGATTGACACGTACGGGTTCTGCCACAACCAACTATGCTCATAAGAACACAGGGTCTAGACTTTGAGAACTTCCGGAAGGGGCCAAGAACCAGGGCTCCCCATCTCTGGTGTGTGGCAGCCACTTGGGAAGCTCTTATAGTTCTGTCTCAACTTTGGATCATACCCAAGCCCCAAAGGGGCATCACCTTGCCAACTCAGGCCACCAGGAATAAGAAAGAGGCTCCATTTCATCCTTCTCTCATGCCCTGCAAACAGCTCCCAGCACATTCCTTCCCGGCAGCAGGGCACAGTGTCACCTCATGGTCCTCTCAGAAGGACAAAGCTTGTTCTCATTGGCCTCACCCGATATTCAGTATAAGCTGAAGACGTGGCCCAAGCTAAATTCCAGCTGAACAATACATGTTTTAGATGGGCAGCTAATTTGCTGCTATGAGTGAAATAGGAGCTTCAGAAGGAGAGAAATCGATTTTAATTGCTTCTCATGAAAGTCATCCTCATTGATTTAGTACCTTTCTAGAAATTGGGTCTCAGCTTCACAAAAAACACACCCTCTCAGGAACAATAAAAAACCCTCTCACTAGCTAGCTATTTATTTAGTGCTTTTTAAGCAAATCATGTTTCCTGAATAAAGAGAGCAAGATTTCTGCCTTAGTATAAGACTGATGACCCCAGTCTCTCTGCCTCACTGGGTGACTACTCCCACCGTCCATTGAGTTCTCATTTAGAGATAAGTCAGGAAAAGCTACAGGGCTTCTGATGCAGCTCAGTGACTGCCTCTCTGCCCATTATCAGGAAGCTGGGACAGTCTGGGCTGTTTGGGGTCTGTAGGACCCCGCCAGCTAGTGCCTCTGACCACCCTGTAGCTCCAACACCCTGCTGGCCAGCAGGTCAGACCTGACTCAGGCTTCTGAACCCTGCATTTTTTGAGCAAACAGAAGTGTGACCCATCTCCAGCCTGAAACATGAGGTCAACCAGCCTAAGGATGTGAGAGGGCCTTAATGCTCCCTTAACCAGCTGCCCCAGGGGCTCTCACAGTTGCTTCTGCCTACCAATCCCTGGCCTACCCACCGGCTCCCCAGTGTTCTGCTGAGCACTCAAAGCTAGGATGTACTGATGTAGAGATCCCTAAAAGACCTTTCCTTACCCCAAGCAGTAGGGCAGGGTTGGGATGGAGTATCTTTATGAAGGATCCCAGAGCTAGAAGGGGCCTTTAGAGGTCTAGAGGAGAGATGTCAGCCTTCTGTCTCTCGAGGGTCAACCTCAACCCACCCACATCAGTAGGCACATGGTTTGGAAGGTGAGGTTTTTGGTTTGTTTTTTTTTCTAACCAAACCATTCAATAATCCTGCATGTTCCCCTTGTTTTAAAAAGTAGTCTTTCTGTTGGCAAGAGAGCATCAGTGTTCCAACTGTTGAATAAACTGATTCAAGCCAAAACACAAGAAATTTAATATACAGCCTTTTCATAGGTCCATGGGCAAAGGAAGTCTATGGAATTTAAATGCAATTCACAAGCAGGCTCGTACACCACCTACCAGAGTCCCAGGGAGGCCAGAGGCCAGGTTAGAAATAACTACAACGATGGCTTGCTAATCTTTCTGCATGTTTGATGTCCAGAGTCTCTCTGACCACCCTGCGGCTCCAGGACCCTGCTGGCCAGCAGGTCAGACCTGCCTCAGGCTTGTGGACCCTGCATTTTTTGAGCAAAGAAGAGTTTTAGGGTTAGGGCTTTCCTGATAACTTCATACGCGCCATTTACCTTTGTGATCAACCCACAATCAGGGCAGAGCTCAGACAACCCAGGAACCAGAGCCCCAAGGCAAGGGTAGAAGCAGAATGGGAAAAGATCCATTCTCCTGCAGCAAGCCCTTCCCTCAAATGTGTAGGGTACAGGATATTCCTGTCCCCACCCACCTCCAACTTTCAACCTACCACCCCACAAAATTGTTCTTATGCTGCTATCACATCAGAGCTCTTATTGCTAGCCCATTGTACAGATAGAGAAACCAAAGCTATTGAGGTTGAAAGCGATGCATGCCCAGCCAGAGCTGTGCCTCTGTCCCTGCCTGGACCTCACAGCATCCCTGGAGGAAGCCAGTCCTAGGCTCCTGGGCTCTTCAGAAGCTCATCTGGCCTTCACTCTCCCAAATCCTCTTGGTTCACCAGCTTCTTCCTCTTTTCCCGGGGTAGATGATCAGGGAGTGGAGCCTGAGCTCAAGCCCGAAGACGACCTGGATGGAGGCACAGAGGAGCAGGGAAAGCAGGTTGGCATCCCCGCTTTGCTCCCTGGCCTGGCTGCTCTGCCCACCGCCTCCTGAAGCAGTGCACAAACTGGGCTCAGAGGGACCGGTAGGGACCACTGGAGCTCGTGAGGCTCCTTCAAACACTGGCGTAAGACCCTAAGAATAGGACTTATGGCCAGGCTGATAAGTCAGGTGCAGACCAGTGCAAATGAACCTCTGGTTTAAATGTTTAAGTGCTGCCCAATCCCAAGTCCCCCTCTGCTGCTCTGGCCTCTCCTCCAAAACTCCCTAGGCCCCTCCCAGGTCCAGCAACTAAGGAGGCAGTGCCTGATCCAACAGCAGCTTTCAAAAGTCTGGTCCAGCACTCAAGTGGTCAAGGGCAGACAATCATTTAAGCTGTCACCCCAGCCCCAGGGAGCTCAGGTTTGGGTCGTTGCGCCACCATGCTGTTGTTGCCTGGGAAGGAGGGGGCTGTCCCTGCTTATCCGCCCCAAACAGGGATGTGTTTTGTGGGCACATCTGCCCACTGCTGCTGGCACATCCTTCCTGAGCCGACCTGGCCCTTGCCTCTTTTGCCATGTTGAAAGCGGCCTATTCGTTCTGTGCTATGAGACAAGACAGTTTTTTTCTGCCTGACAGCAGTTCTAGGCAGAGACCCAGTCTCGGTTTTGTCTCAAGCCATTTCTTGGATGAAGGACCCAGGCGTTGGATGGGAGAGGGCTTTTTCTCTTTCAATGGAGCTCTGTGTTAGGAGACCACATCTGTGATTTGGAAAAGATCATCCTTGACAAGGAGTTTGTTGTCTGCTTTTCTGGCATTGATTTCTGAAGCCAGTAACCTGGGAAGGGGCATTTGAAAGGGACTCAGAGCTTGGGAATGGGACTTTTCTCTGGTTGTCTTGGACGTGCTTTGTCCTGGACCAGGCCAGGTAAGTGGAGAATCAGGCAAAGAGTGCAGGTTTTTTTGGTTGGATCTGCCATTGCCATTCTTTATCTCCAAAGCCCCACTTTCCTTGGAAACCTACCTTCTAGTTTCCGCCGTGGATGCTCTGGCCCACCTGAATGGTGTCTGACCGTTTTGTTCTCTGTGTTTTATAGCCTTTGGGTGGTTTTACCGTTATGATGGCAAATTCCCAACCATCCGGAAGGTAGGACAGGACTGGGTGCTATGCCGATGTACGGATGAGTTTGCTGTGGGTTGTGGCTTTTCCCAAACATTTCTTTACCAGTCTGCTCTGAATGGTGTGACCTGGCCTGTTCACTTGGAAAGACGATTCCTTCTGTGCCTCTCGTCAAGATGATGTCAAACGGCAGGGCACTGGTATAGGGGTTTTGTGGGATGTTCCTGGTGTGAGGCCTGCCCAGGGACAGTCAGCTTTCACATGGGTCTGCACCAGCTCCCATGGCACAAGCCAGGCTCAGGGAGCTTCTGCTTTGTTCTGTCAAGTAGAACCAGGCCCATGACCAGGACCCTGGGTCATGCAGTGTGAGACAGCAGTGCGGGTTGTGACATTGACTGTGCCAGGTGCAGACCGGCTGACCACACAGGGGATTTGCTGCCTCCGTTGGGACTGGGAACCACACCAACCAAAACTCTGCTAATGGCTGTCTGCGTGTGTCCAGAATCATGCATTTTCCCAATCTCCAGAGCCTGTAATTTTCTCTCTAAATCTTATTATAGCATTTCCAGGCCTCATAAAACTCTCTTGTCCTTTGTCTTTCGTAAATCACTTTGGCATTTGATTATGAAAATGCCACTGTTAATATCTGTAGCTTTGACATTCGAGATGGCTTGGTATTTGAAAGTCAGGCATCAGCATAAATCTGAGTGAGGTGAATTGGAGTTATCCCTTCACTGGCTTTCTCTAACAAGAAGTTGGTCACCCAGAAACCAAGCTACTAAAGATTGGTGACTTTGATGATCCGTAACTTCTTCCTCCCTACAAAACGGGAATGTCAGATGTGCCTGGAAAATCTACTCCCTTTCTCCACCACTTTCCTATTAAGATAACAGACAGCAGCACTGGGGATTTAGCTCAGTGGTGCTGCCACCTGCGTCATAAGTGCAAGGACCTGAGTTTGATCCCCTGTACCAAAAAAAGAAAAAGAAAAAGGATAATAGCAATATTCTTATATAGGTGAACAGAAAATTGGACAGCTCATGTTGGAGATTCCTTCCAGCATTATCCTGGTTTCAGAAAGCACTTGGTCTCTTAGGACCATTCTCTTCATCTTACAGGCTCACTCCTGGCTTAGGGTGACTCACTGAATTAGGTTGTTAATTCTTTTGTAATACTGTCTCTGTTAGAACTCAATGGACAGAACAAAACACACACATACATGGTATCACTGAAAAAAGTAATGAAGCAGACCAAACCCTTTCCAAACATTAACAACTGTGCAGATGTGAAAGAGCTGGACTCTTGGACGTACACATCATAGATGATGTCACTTTCCAGTTGATCCCTTGAAAGTTGCCATTGGTAAAGAGGTCAGGCTGGTCTCCCCCTGTTCATTAGTTCTATCATTCCAGAAACAACTGGTGTATTGCTTTTCATTTTCATTTCCAAAAGAGGGAACAATTGCTCTTAGGTAAAATCAGCAGCCCATCACCATCTGCCTCTCCTCTCAGTCTGGACTAAGAAGAAGGTTTGCCATGAATTTAAAACTGACAGCTAAAAGGACAACATTGTCATGTCCCTCACACTGGCTGTGGAAACCCATTTTCATATTGACTAGCACCATGAGATGCTTTGTCTCCCAGCAGCTGGAACACTGAGTCCCCGCATAATGCAAGGAGGTGTCTTGGCCATGATCACCAATTATCACAAACCCCCCTTATCTGAAAAGAGAAAGAGTCAGTGTCTCTATTCCTACCCTAGAACCAAGACCCTATGGGACTCAAGGCCTCCAGACTATGGCACCAGTTATGCCAGGACCTGGAGAATTCTTGGTTCTGGCTAAAAGCTTTCATTAGAACTGCTGGAGTAAATCATGCAGAGCATCCTACTTGCTGGAGCCCAGCCTGACAGGGGAGAGAGATATGCACACAATTAAGTTAGTGCATGAAGGCAATAGGAGATCCCTAGGCAATGCTGTAGGGAAATCTTCCCTCTGCACCTCTAAGCAGATGCTACTTTATTAAGGATAAGACAGAAACTGTTTGTGGTCAGCCTGCCCTACCCAGGTGTCCAGCTTTAAAATCTTAGTGCTGATTTTTTTTAAACCAACAGGAAGGCCATTCCTATTATGGTGATCCCTGTGGGAGGCCAGGCCTTTAGTCTAGCAAGCTGCCATTAGGCAGAATGTTTCTGGCTCCCCTTGGAGAAATCGCTGTCCGAATCTCTGACATGATGGCGGGAATTCACCTCTCAACTGAGCTGAGTCTAGTGAACAGAGTAGGCAAGGAACCAAGGAGGAGAACCATTTTCTCAAGAGGCTCCTAGCCTACTCAGGAAGTGGGTCCCGAAAGTGACCATTTCCACATTGTGCAGGAAGTGGGGGTGGTCTTCACAGGGTAGCAGAATAGGATGAGCCAGTCAGAAGTCTGTAATGACCCACTGTTCCTCCAGCTGTAAATAAAATGTGTGCTCATTGCTGGCAAACTCAATTCCTTATTCATAGCCTTGGATGCTGAGAGGATTTAGAAAATCCAAGAGCAGGCCCCAGGAAGGCTTGTTAGAGGAGGGGTGAGCTCAGTGAACAGGGAGTTTCCTTGTCCCAGAAAGTGCCCAGGATGTTGACTCCTTCTGCATCCCCTGTCCTGAGTGCTGACCCTTCCTCTTTTGCCCCCAGCCATGAGGGCACAGTCAAAAAACTGGAACCTGGAAGACTAAATTCCAAATCCTGGCACCGTCACTAGACTTCTGACATCGGGTAAAGGTGTCCACCTCTCTGAGCCGTGGTCCCTTCCTCAAGAGAAAGGGACAGTACCTACCTAGGAGATAGTTAGTCTCAATCCCTTGGCTTGTAGAAAGCAGACTCTGTGGGTCCAATTCTCTTGAGATCTGTTTTCCTTCATCAAATCCTTCTGAACTCTGTGACCAGAGTAAAGCAATCAGGCCATCCTCCCCACTACATCTCCCAGTTTCCAGCCCATCTTCAGTTGAGGGGCCCAGTAAGAGGGAACCCTTGCTTTGGACTCTCTATAATGGAATAGCTTACACATTGAGGCAAAATCCAGTGTCCTTGGCTCTGGGCCCCAGGTCTGAGGCTGCTCCCAATTCCTCTTGCTTGGGACAGAGGATCTCTGAGGATGAAATTTGCCAGCTCTCCCAAATTTTCTCTACAATCCCCCAGGATGCATCCCTGATGTCTAAACATGATCCACCTTTCTCTTCAGATGCTGGAGAAGAAATAAATACATTGCCTTTTATGTTGACAACTCTTTGAAGTTTACAAAGCCCTTTCATCGTTGCTATTTCATTGGCCCTGAATGAAAGCCTGTGGGGCTATTATTTCCTCATTTAGAGTCAAGGGGAATCAGGCTCAGAGAGGTGAAGGAACTTCATTAAGACCACACCGATGGTTACTGAACTAATAAGCCGGTTCCCATTGGCAAAGGAATGTGACTCCCATTCTGCAGCAGGTTGCAGTGGTCTCCCTGTCCTAAACCTGAGGTTGGGTGCCCAGTGCAGTGAGCCACAGCTGTGGGTGGGGCTCAGCATGGAGTGGTTACCCCGTGTTGTCTGAGATCTGGGTGCTGTTTGCTGTGCTGTTCTAGTATCAACACTACCTTGTAACCCTTTATCATATAAACAATGCCACCTCCACTCAGAAAGGAAAAGATAAGAAGAAAGCCAAGTATGACAGCTTGCAGGAGTTGAGAAAGAATAAGAAGGAGCTGGAGTTTGAGCAAAAGCTTTACAAAGAGAAAGAGGAAATGCTGGAGAAGGAAAAGCAACTCAAGATCAACCGATTGGCCCAGGAGGTATGTGTCCTGCTCACAGGCCAGGAAGTCATCCTTTGGATGCACTTTGGTTGTCCCTGACCATGTCAGGGACCAGCTGGAGTTGTTTTCCCAAGGTGGAGTCCAAGGCTCACTTCCTCCCCCTTCACCTGGAGAATAAGACCATCCCACCTGCCCAGCATCACCTGCCACCTGCTCCTGGATTCCATGCTCGTTTGAGCTGGAGGCTGGTCTGCTGGCTCAGCATGAGTCCCAGGCTAACCCCTCTCCCTAGTGTAGATCTGAAGTAGCCTTCCGTTCACCTGTCTGTAGGTCTCTGACTGTCTAGTCACCCTACCCGAGTTATGAGTCCAAGTCCAGGTCTCGCAGGCTGGCTAAGGCTACCCCTGTGTGCAGATGGTAAGTCTGAGGCCATCCCAGTTAATCCGGCTGTGAGTGAGTCTAAGGCTGCTTCCACCACATACAGGGTGCCGGAGGCTCTACCTCTGTAACCTGGGAGTGTATCTAAGGCTCTCCCCTGCCAGACCTGTCAGAAGCACTCTTGCAGGATGAGCAAGTGCTATTTCCTAGGTGAGGCAGTCGGCCTTAGCCCCCCAGCTGCAGAGATATTCTTTCTGCTTCTCTTTAATGCTTTCATGAATCAGACTGTCAAGCTGATCAGATTATTGAGCCAGAGAAGTCCTGGAGCATGTGGAAAGCATTAGGTCTGGCATTAGAAATGAATTAGCCACCAAATTAAAAATAAGATTCAACTTGTGCTTCTGAGGACAAGGCAGCCTGGAGTGGGGGGAAATACAAGTTCAGTTCTTGGAATGCACAGGGAGGCTACAAAAGGACCATTCTTGGAGACTCATAAGAGCCTCAGGGTTCCTGGGATGCAAGGGTCCAGCCAATCCCATGCAGCACTTAAGCCCCTTCTCTGATGTTGCTAAGGGATTTTCTTAAATCAGCTTCCATCCGCTTCCCTCCTCCCCCTTATTCCTGCTTCCTAGGGGCCAGATGGACCACACCATGGTTTTTTTTTCTAGACAAGGGACAGCCTAACCGTGCTCTGGGACTTTTAGCAAACTACTTCCATGCCCGTGGCTGCTTGCGTGATTCAGGTGCCCTGTGTCCTCTCCTTTTGGCTTCGGTCCTGGGTCCCAGGTATCTGAGACTGAGCGGGAAGACCTTGAGGAATCTGAAAAGACTCAGTACTGGGTGGAAAGGCTCTGTCAGACGCGCCTGGAGCAGATTTCCTCTGCTGATAATGAGATTCCAGAGGTAACAGTGCCCTTCTTTCCACAGAGACCCTCCTGCTGCCCAGGATGACCCATTCTGGGGACAGTGGAGGCATATTGGTCACTAGAGAGTGTTGTCCACACCACTGTCCAGGGCCCATCCTACAAGCCCCTCCCGCTCCTCTCAGGGAAGAGGGACATTGTACAGGGATGGGAGATGTCTCTACTTCTGGGCTCATCTCCAGAGTGACCATTGTGTTCCAGATGGTCTGAGATGGTCCTAGGCAGGCCTGTTGTCCTACCTTAGTATTACAAGCACTGCTCACATGCTCAGGTGTGTTCTGGTTGAGAGGATAAAGTACCTGATCACCTTACCACCCCCAGACGGCCTGCCTTGCACCCTGTGGTACCCACAGTTCTAGTGGAGGGAGTAGAAGAGTACAGTACCTGGTGTGCTGTGAAGTGTCGTCCTAGTTGGTAGAGATAATCATGGCCCTTCCTTGCAATCCTCAGATGACCACAGGGCCCCCACCTCCCCCGCCTTCTGTGTCTCCCCTGGCCCCACCCTTGAGACGCTTCGCAGGTGGTCTGCACCTCCACACCACCGACCTGGATGACATCCCCTTGGACATGTTCTACTATCCCCCCAAGACTCCCTCAGCCTTGCCTGTTATGCCCCACCCTCCACCCTCCAACCCCCCTTCCAAGGTCCCTGCACCCCCTGTGCCTCCGTCCTCGAGCCACGTGAGTGCCTCACCCTCACCCTGGGTGCAGCGCAGTCCACCCCCCCCCCCCC